CAACAACCTTAAAAAACCATGTTTGGGCAATTTGTTTAATCCAAATTTTAAAATATATACTATTTTCATTATAATGAACAATCATAAAAAAGAAAAATTTGAAAGCGCAACTTCAAAAATATTCTTTTAGCCTGATTAACATAGGCCGTCCATTTTGATAAGATACTTAGATCGAGGCCTTAGAATTATTTTTTCGTTTCCAAATTTTTTAGATGACTTTATTATCATTAGATAAACAATGTTCCATTTTGATAAGATACTTAAATCGAGGCTTTAGAATTATTTATTCGTTTCTAATTTTTTTAGATGACTTTATTATCATTAGATAAACAATAATCCATTTTGATAAGATACTTAGATCGAGGCATTAGAATTATTTTTTCGTTTCCAATTTTTTTAGATGACTTCTTTATTATTAGATGAACAATGTTAAAAAAGAAAAAAATGATTTTGGGTTTGTAAAGGCTAATATCTTGAAATTAACCAACTGAATGGTTTAGATTCGTTGTTGGATATGTTTTTTGGGATTGATTATTGAGATGAAGAGTGTATGCAAAATTTTGGGCCATACAGATACCACAAACATATTTTTCTATAAGTGTGGTTACATTATACTATGATACAACCGTTACATTAGATCGTTATCATATATATATATATATGAAATTTAATACCTAGGCTATTAAATTTCAAAATTTTTTGTACTAAGATTACATCTTACAATAGAGTTTGTTGGATTGTTTTGATGATGTCATAGCAACGTCGCCTTAAGGTTCATCCCCGTCCATCCATGGTTTGGACGGTGATAGAGGGAGAGCATGATGCTAAAATGACTTGGGAAGGGTGAACTTGATATTTTTGATATTTATTAAATATTTGATGGCACTTTTATTCTTTCACCCAAGATACAAGAGCAAGGAAATGTAACACGTCAAACGGATCCACTCGCTCCATTTTTCTCTGCATTTTCTGTCCTTCATCTCTGCAAAATTAGGGCACTGTTTGTTATCGGTTCTTGTTATAACCTGCAAAATTAGGGCACAGTTTCATATTTCTTGCGCCAGATCGACCACTTTTCTTTGAGGATTGAGGCTCGAAATAGTGATAGCTTTACTAGACTCGAAGAGCTTTACAAATTGATACCAGATCTGAACAAGGAAAGCACGGTTTCAAGTTTCGTGAAGTGGAGATCGTACTGGTAAGTAGGGAAACTAGGTTTGATAGTATACAGGAGCTTTCATAATCGGAAGGCACAACTGTCGTTTCCACTCCAGGTGCTGAGCTCTACAGATTGATTGCAGATCTGTATCGAGAGTCTTGGGATTGGGTTTTCGAAAGTGTGATTTCCACTGGTGAAGGGGAGCTTCAGGGAAGGAAGATCAAAATTAGGGTATACAGGGCTCTGGTTTCGATCAGTGGAGGGGAATCATGGCACGAGAATTGCCCAAAATGGAGGGTATCAAAGGGGCTCCTCGATCAGCTTTGGTTGCTTTCTCACCTGATAGTCCTTTCTTGGCGGCTGGAACCATGGCTGGAGCTGTTGATCTCTCATTCAGTTCTTCAGCGAATTTAGAGATATTTAAGCTGGACTTTGAATCAGATAAATGGGAGCTACCAGTTGTTGGAGAGTGCACCAGCAATGAGAGGTTTAATAGGCTTTCATGGGGAAATATTGGATCTGGTACGGAGGAGTACTCACTTGGTCTAATTGCTGGAGGCTTGGTTGATGGTTGTGTCAATTTATGGAATCCTTTATCCCTTATCAGGTATTCTTTATTCTAGGATTTGGGTTTTTTGTTTCAGATTTTGCTAGTGTAATGAAATGATTTTTGTCTGAGTTTGGGGGTTTCATCTCTGATAATGTGGTTTTCAATACTTGGTCTCTTTGTTGGGATTTTCCACTTTCAGTCGGGTGTATTGGTGGAGTTCTGTTTAGTTTGGAGGGTTAATGTGAATTTAAATTTTGTGTAGTTTGATTTTGTTTGATATATGGATTTCCCCAAGAATATTTTGGTAAGTTTGTAATTTACTCTAAATTATGCAAATTTTATAAATTTTGAGAATGCAGTCTCTGACTGTGACCGATTTATAAGATGTAGTATTTGTCTCCATGTGGCTAATCCTTTTTTTTTTTTTGGGTTACTTATAACTTCCAGTAAACTTGTGTACATGCATAACATGATACATGGATGGACAATTGTGTGATAATGCACACTAAATCTTAATTATTCAAATCCATACAGATACATATGTATTTGTATAGAGAGGAAGTATGTATTTTTGTAGAATTAACGGTTTTTCCCGTGCTTGTGTGTGTGTATTATTTTTCATATTTGTTGTATTAAAGGATGCTTGGTGCTATGTTTGATCATAAAGATTAAATACGTGCATTGAATTTTATATAAGACAAAAAAGGAACCTTTGTTGTGTTCACTTATAATAACATTCAATCCCTGACATATGACTTGATATTGGGCTGTAGAAGTAATCTTCAAAGTTTAAGCATGACTAAGGTGGTGACCTTGAGTTATAGTCTGTCTAATATTCAGGGAACTGAGAGAGGTGGTTTTTGTCAGGCAACTCTTGGAACACTATTTAGTTTTTTCTACATTATTCTTTGATTTTTTCTTCTTCCAAAGTGGATTTTTTTTTGCACAGTGTATATTTAATTAGGTCCCAAAACCTCCAGAGGTTTCATTCTTGTCCTCAACCATGTAGTTTACTATCCTTCTTAATGTATTTTCTATTTAAATTTATATATTACTACTCATGAATGTCCATTTGATAGATTTGTAATTTGCAAAGAATGCTCTCGTAGAAAAACTGTATAGCTGTCTTAATTTGAGAGGATTTTGTTTTGCAGCTCCAGGAACAATGAGAATGCCGTTGTTGCACGCCTCCAGAAACATACCGGACCGGTGAGCCAAAAACGGCCCCAACCCAACCCCTCCACCCAAACCCCACCCCACAAAAAAATAAAAATAAATCCTTCTCTTCATGTTATGTTTTTTTTTTTAGAAAACAAGGGGCTTACTGGTTATTCATGTTTGCAGGTTCGTGGATTGGAGTTTAACAAGATTAGCCCAAATCTTTTAGCGTCTGGTGCGGAAGAGGGAGACATCTGCATATGGGATATAGCGAAGCCAGCAGAACCATCACTTTTCCCATCTCTCAAGGTAATATGGATCGTATTTTTCATGTTTCAAAACACTTGAAAATTATGTTCTCATCATCCATGCATATTATCTCTCCTATTTTTTAATTTATTTATTGCCACTATTTGACATGCTACCACATTAGAATTTTGTATAGGAGCTCAAAGCTACAATCCACCTTGAACATACTGCCTCCAAAATTTTTTGGTTATAGCAAGCTAAATGACCCTTCAAGTATTGGTTGTAAATTCTGATTTGAGACTCCATTTCAGTCTCACTTGAGTTATATTTGAATTCTAATGTTCCTAGGTTGAATCTAGCCTTTGTACTGTGATTCCTTATCACCCTTTGGCAGTTTAAGTTGTAAATGCAACATTTTAACTAGTATTGACTAATCTACATCATTTTTTCTACATGAGGAATTTACCATTTGGAATTAAGATTGAATATGATTTTGACATGGTAATGATATAAGCTTACTCTGCTGATCAAAATGGGCTGTTTGAGTGGTTTGTATTTATGTGAAAGTTGGGGAACCTTATCTAACTGAAAGACCATGTGGAATTAAGATTGTGCTCTAATTGGATTCTTTATTTTAATAGTTGAACTAACTTGCTCGCTATCCCTCTAACTTAAAGTTCGATTCTATCTCAATGCATAATACAAGTCATGTGAATGTGAGTTTGCATGTCAATGCACAGCCTGTACCCCATTTGTGTATGTATGAATTGGTGTTTAAGAATTTGGGCTGGTGGGTCGAACTGGTCATCTACTTGTTTCGAGTCGGATCGGCTAACTCGGTACCCAGCTCGGCCCACTTGGCCTTCTTTTTTCAAAAGAATACTATAAGACACCTCATAAACTCACTGAAAGGTTATTCTGACGCCGTAAAATAATCCAATTGATCATCCTGACCTCGAGATGCGTGGGTATAAAAGAAAAAGAAAAAAAGAAAAGGGTTTCAAGTTTTGGAAACAGTGCATCTTGTAATGTATTATTTGAATCGTCCATTTTCAAGATTTTCAAGTATTTGTAGGTTTACTAGGTCTACACTATTTTTGAATATTCAAATTTCATAATTAGAGATGGAAATAGACCATAGGGATTATTGGCAATTAAATGGCATCTTTTAGACTTGCACCTTACTTTAATTGTTTTAGGTGCGAACCCTAGACCAACTTCACCCCTTAAATATTAGTTGTTTAAAAATTTTAAACAAGGTTTAAAATATATATATATATATATATATATTTATTTATTTATTTATATATTTATATATACATTAATGCTAAAAAACATTTTTATTTTAAGGGGGATACAGTTTGTCCAGATTTTGTGGGGGGCTCGCACAGGCCCCCGTATGTATATGTAGTGATTTTTGGAACCCTGGTATGAATTATTTTTTAATAATTTTTGGAACCCGTATGTATATGTAGTAATTTTTGGAACCCGTATGTAGTAATTTTTGGAACCCGTATGTATATGTATATATCATGCGGTTCCTAGTCCCCTTAGTGATTTTTGGAACCCTGGTATGAATTATTTTTTAGTAAAACATTTTTGTATACTTAAATGTACATATGTTTCGTATATATCACTTCTTTGTTAGAATGTTCAATGTTTTAAAGGCACTAGGAGACCTGGGGGGTTGGCCTTCTAAGTGTGATGCGGCTGCTTAGCGGGCGCTGGTTTTGAAGTGTCCTACGCACGAATATATGTGCCCCAACCCTAATGTATATGCTTATATGTGTATATAGGACCCATATATGTATATGTAGATTTCGTATATAATAAGACATGATTCTATGATGTATGAAATAAAACAACAAATTATATGCTTTATATAAAGTACATGCATAGATAATTAAAGATAAATTTGAAAAATAAATTTCTGAAGTTTGAAAGCAACTAAGTAAATATTGGATCACTTTTCACAAACATAAATGAAGATGTAACTACCACAGGGAACCAAAAGTTAGATGGCATTTCCAAATCTTGATTCCCAAATTTGAATGCCATATGGCTGTCTAGTGGCTCCATTTCAAAGAATATAAACTCTAAATGTCCAAATGCATAAGCACAAGCCCTCAATGTATAGAAAGTGACAGAAAGAAAACAGTAAGCAAAATAAATAAAATGAATCATGTTTAGTCCTGAACTCTTCATCATCTTCATCAACCCCAAAATTTCCATCTGATTGCAAAGGCATCATCATTAAGGTAATCACCCTCCTCAACATAATGACCATCTTCCTCATTCTCTTCCATATCGGCCTCCACTTCCCTGCCCAGTGTTTGAGAAAACGTTAGGTGGTGCCTAGGCGGCTAGGGGGGTCTAGGCCGCCCAACGCCCAGGTGGGCGCCCAAAACTTGGGCGGCCCAATAGAAAGAAAAATGTCTCTATGGTCTAACAATATAAGTATAGCTGTATAACACATAAGAGTTAGGTATTTAGGGCTCATCAAATGTATAGTAAGCAAGTCCACATAGCACACTCTTGTCCATACTCCATAAGATGTTTCTAAGGATTCAAAATCTTCCAAAAAACCTTCTAATAGATTTATAAAACATCCATAACTAAATCTAATATCAATGGATGATTCTTAGATCAATTTTTTGTACTTTGAAAAACCCTTTGATCCTATGGAAATCACCAATAAATAGTTTTTTAAGGTTTTTCTCTCTCTAAAATAGGCTCTAATGGGGTTGAGGTTTCAAATGACCATGATTTTGCCCCTGTTGTATTAAAAAAAATAAAAAATGCCCTCAATGGGGGTCATCACCCTTGGGCGCTGGGCGCCCACCTAGGCAGGTTCCTGGGCGCCTAGGCGGGCACTGAGGGACATCCCACCTAATTTGGCCGCTTAGGCCTGGGCAATGCGCCTAGGCCTTTTGGACTGCCTAGGTGGCCACCTAGGCGCTGCGCGGTCGACTTTTTAAAACAATGTCCCTGCCTTCTACGTGTTCCCAGAATGGTAGTCAATCCAGTGGTCTTCTTAGGGTTGGATGCTGGCCCTGAAATTCCTCAGTCATATCCCATATCAAACCCTCTCCTAGGGATGATCTCTTTTGCTTCGGATAAACCAACCACTCACAGTCATGATCTATGTCGTTCACAAAGAGGCATCACTCTTGTCACACTCATTTAAGCGATATTTTAGCCTTTGATTATATTGAACAAGACTAAATCATTAAGTTTCTTTTGATTAAGCCTATTTCTTTTCGTTGTATGCACTTGTGGGAAAATCCATAAGAGAATTTATAGTAAGACAGTTCTACAATATACTGATAATTTAAGAACCAAGCTAAAATTATAATCATAGTTGCTAACTTTTGTATTTGTATCTTATAAATTGAAGTAAAAAATTATTTATTTTTAGTAGTATGAAATATTAATCTTTGCACGTTACCATCTCAAATGAACTCTTGTTTACAGCTAGATGAGCTACGTGTCTCAATATGCAGATGGCCATCTTTTATAAGCTCCACCATTATCATACATTGCTTAAATTTTAAAATTACAATTCGAAATTGTGTAAGTTCTGAGTTGTAAATAATATGAATCCGACTATGAATAATGAATATTAAAGTACATATTAGTATGACAGGAAGCATTAGAATTTGTGAGTTACCAAAGTAATAAGACTTTATGGATTAAACAAGAAATTAGAAAGATGACCTGCATTGGATTTGTCTTGCAGCTGTCCTCCGAGATAATTTTAATGCTCACTTGTATAAGGTCAAATCCTTGTATGAGGTCAAATCTTAAGCAGGTACCTTATCCTGGATGTTTTTATTGGCCTCTCTAGACATTCATTGAAGCTATCCATAATGGCACTTCCTCTCAATATCAAAGTTTACATAATAGAATTTTGGGGTTCAAATGGTAACCAGTCGCATGCAAGGCCAATCAGGTGGCTTGTCTCGCACTATGTGTATAATCTCCCACTCGTCTCTCTCACTCTCTTGGCTCCCTCTAATAGTGTGGTGTATCCCAGAGCTGACTTCACTATCAACCAATCGCAAAACTTTGATCAAGGTTGCAAATAACTTAAATGAATACACTATCCCAATCCAAAAAGATTTTGACAAAATAATATCACATGCCCTCTTCCCTTGAGCATGCTTAGACCACTTGCATATCCTCTCAACATATAGTGGAATTGGTGTTTCTTATCCATTATGCTCTGCAGAGTTGGGAAAGAGGTGTCAAAACTCATAACTCCTAGCCTTTCTGTATCCTTCTTCTTAATGAATACTTATTTAGAAGTAAGCTTGTGGCTGTAGCTAGACAGCTACAGACACAATCACCGGCTTATCTGTAACAAGTGTCCCCTTGACCCTTAGCGCATCGCCAATAGCCATAAGCATGAGATTTATGCAGTGTGTTGTGAATGTTCAAAAAATATGACACCACTTTGGCACAACAGCCATAAATTTATTGGCTGTAGCCATGTTTGTTACCACTTGTATTACAATTTACATGCTCGTTTCCAACAATTCTTTTATCAACCAAAGGAAAAGATGTGCTGTACCTTGTGAACATCAATGGAAGAATCAATAGACCTCAGAAGCCTTGTCTCTAAATGGCAATTTACTATAAAATTCGTTATTATCTTTCTCCCTTATCACTCCATGATTATGTGATGTTCGAAACCCCATAATTTGCACCCATGCATGCCTGGCTGGTTTTGATGTACGCATTTGTGAGCTTTCCTCCTTTCTTTGGAATGACTTCCCTAGCTCATAAGGGGTTGGGCCCTTTAACCATGGTTCATATTTGGCCACTAGTCTCCAAGTTTGTACAAAAGCTTTTCTGGTGAGCAACATTGAAAGAATGCCTACCTGACACATCCATTGAGCAATATATTGACATATCCTGCCTCAATTTTCTTTCTAAAACCTTTTTCCGCCTTAGGGTTGGGTGGGTGGGTGGGTGGGGGGTGGGGGGGGGGGGGAGATATCCATGGGCCCCTTCATATGAGGCTTCATATGTTGATCGACTCTTTTACCTCAAGGGGAACCCACTTTGGTTTCCCCTTCATCATCTTCCTCATCACCAAACACATTGGTACTCGTCTTTGCCATACTTGTGTCCCTTGCCACTTTTTTTTTAGTGGCTAAATATTCATTTATCTCCTTTCTAATACCGGTAGTGTGTTTGTTGAATCTATCAATACCCCCATTTGTATTTTGTACATAATAATTGCACGTAATTTCATTTCCTATCATTCTTATCCAGGCAAATACCATATTTCCAACCCCGATTCCCACTTGTACAAAAACCTGAACTAGACATCAAAACAACTGAAATACTGAGTAATATGACCAAAGATGATTGACCTTTGTTGCTCTATACCGAACCTTCATGTTTTGGATGAATATCAAATTTCAATCACCCAAATTATTTTTCTTATAACCTCTTGATATTTCACTATGAATCAAATCTACAAAAATTGGATTTGAAATGATTTCTCTAAATTCTCATTTTTTTTAATCATAAAAGATTACAAAATTTTGGATTTTCTTGTTTTTTTCCACTTGAAAAAAGCTTAGGGAGGGATTTTTATTTTTTTAATATTTGGGGGGTGGTTTACCATTTTTGCCTGGCTTGAGTGCAGAAAAGCATTTTCTTCCCTTGGGCCATGGGCGGCCTGGGGCGGGCTTCTGGGCTAAGGTGCAAGTCTCCTGCCTTGGGTTGGGCTGTCTCGCCCCATGTAAGTTTCCTTGGCAATGGCCCAGCCTTGAGGCGCTACCTAGGTGCCCAAGGTGGCACTTTTTAAATTATGGCGCTATGTAGAAGTCTTATCCGTAATTATGTAACTTGACAGTTCATTGTTCCTAAAGCAGCAATTACCAGTAGCACAACAATGGACTCTTTCTGAGATGGGGTTAGAAATCTGTATTTTGCGATGGAAATTGATACAATATCCACTCATGTCTTTCATAATGGATTATGTATAGCAATGTTTTAAAAAGCGGTCCACCCGGCGCCTAGGTGGCCAGGAACAAAATATCGCACGTCTTGACCCAAGCGGCCCAACACGGGCAGTTGTACCTGGGCGGGCGCCCAGGGGCGTAAGGTGTTTTTGAATTTTAAAAGGGCAAAGGGGGTCATTTTGACCCCAAAGTTTGTATAAAAATGTTATGAGGTTTATTTTTGAACCCCCAAAGTGAAAAAACAAGAAACCCTCAATCTCTAAACTTATTAATGAGAATCTGAAGTAATTTCTGAGAATCGAAAGTACTTTTTGTGGATTGAAAAAGTTTTCTTTTCTCATTGAAATTATTTTTAGGGTGCTATTGGTGGCATTAGAAGACTTTTGAGTTGATTTGTAGCTCGATTGAGGTAACCAAAATTGAAGATCAGAGATTGTGCTATTTTGTTGTGTGGTTTACTGGTTTTTTATATTTTGAAAGTTAGTTTGTTGAAGACTTGGAGAGTTGGAGACTTGGATGTTATTATGGTTTATTTTATGGATATGAATGTGGGGAATATGAGAGTTGGAGACCTTACAATAGCCTATTAGACTTTTAAATGGTTTGTAGGAATTGAAATTTTGAATAAGTTTATTCTGAATGTGATATGTTTGTATATAAAAACGCATGTTGCGAACATGCGATATTTTCAAATAGAATAAATTACAAAATTTGACACAAATATATGAGCATTTGGATAGCAAAATTATAAAAAAATTCTAAGAATTTGCACCACATGGCGTCCGAGGTTCTGGGCACCCGCCTAGGTGCTGGGCACCTGGCAGGCCGCCTAGGGGCCGCCTAGTGTTTTTTGAAACCTTGATGTATAGCACAAGGCTGGCGACATAAGCTATTCCTCACTTAGAATTAGTGTTTTATGCAAAATCTCTGGTTGAGTATTTAGACAAAATGCACTCATTTTGAAGCCCTGGATCGTTGGGTGCAAATGAGGCTTATGCTTATGAATTCAATGTATGATGTGTGAAACGGCATTTGAAACTGCTCTAGCTTTGAAGGACCTATCCTGTTGGCTTTTCTCCTAGTGTTTGTGCCCATATAACTTGGATTTTATGCATTGGACATGGAAACAATTGAAAGAGGAGTTTTATTAAAATAAAAAAAACAATTGAAAGAGGAGTTTTATTAAAATAAAAAAAACAATTGAAAGAGGAGTTGATATCTATTCTCCTGGTTGTTTAAGGCAGAGGTTCAGATGTACAGATTGAGAACTTCTATGAATAATGGAAGAATTTCAAGTTTTTAAGCATTAACATGATAATTGGGAGAGTTGTGATTCTTGGATTACGATCATCTTATAACTTTCTAATTACTTTATGCAAATTTGACTTTTTTCTTGTGAAAATTCCTATTTGAATCATTATGCTTTTTCATATTTTTTTCATACGAACCAGTGTTAAAAAATTCGTTGATTCAGATCGGGAATCACTGATTGGGATCTGGAATTGCTATAGACCGAACCGATTTGTGGTTGGAATTGGTGATTTATTTTGTATATGATATATCGTAGAGTTTTTCTAATGAAAAACTTGGAAGGCCTAGTTGGCTAGATTCCACGCTCTATTTGAGGCAATGTCAGATGTTTGAGTCCCTTCTTGAATTCACCCCACACCCCCCCCCCCCCACACACACACACACGCACACCCTCTTCCTCTCTTTCTTTCTTAACATCTCAAAGTTCAAAGTTGAATGATACATGTGCTTCTAATTTTTATTTAAGGTTTAAAAAAGTAACTATACATGCACAAAGCTCGAAATCTGGACCTCTTGTGAGAGGCCAAGACACATACCGACTAAGCTATCGACGTCCAGTGTTATAAGATTCACTCATTATTAGATGTCTTTTTTTGTTGTGTGTGTGTGTGTGTTTTTAAATTCCAGGATCACCAAACCGATCTATTTAGATCGCCAGTTCGGATTGGGACGGTGGGTGGACAATCCACCATTCTGGTCTGTTTTTAGAACACTGTTTGGAACTAATGATTTGTAGCTCAGTACCAAGAATGTGCAGAGCGCCCCTTCAATTGGTTGCAAATGTACATAATGTTAGAAGTAGTTGATGCTAAACTATGATGTTAGCTTTTAACAGGAGGACCAAATGTTGATTTTTATTCAGTCGCATTGAGGCTTAGCTTACAAGTGACAAATTATTTATTCTTATTTATTTGATAAAAATGGTTTGTTTATCTACAAATTCTCTTCTTGGATGTTTCTGGTCGCCGAGAGACCAACTTGGCATTGCTTTGTGAGCAAGTATCTTGTTGGTTTTTATAGATTTAATAAAAAATGTTATATTTGTGTTAAATGGAGCATTTTGTGTGGTGATGCATAACTCAGTTTTGTGCCACTGTATCTACATCATTCCTACAAATAAAATGCTGGCATACTTATGTGGATGTTATTCAATTTGGTTCAACTTTGCTCCAACTTCTTTCAGGGTGGATCTGGGGCACAAGGGGAAGTTTCTTTTTTATCATGGAATCCCAAGGTTCAACATATATTGGCATCTACATCATACAGTGGGACCACAGGTGTGGATATGAAGCCAGTTTATTGAATTTCATTCTTTTCCCTGTTATTTGCTTCTTTTATCTGATTGAAAGACAATCTTTCCAGTGATTTGGGACCTAAAGCGGCAGAAACCAGTAATCAGGCAAGTAATTTTACACGTATGAGATGATTTTGGAATCCCATAGTTAAGTTATCTATGCTCCATAGTACCTGATGTACATTCATGCTGTGACAGCTTTTCAGATTCTATTAGAAGGCGATGTTCTGTTTTTCAGTGGAATCCTGAAGCTCCTACACAGCTTATTGTGGCATCCGATGACGACAGATCACCTTCTTTAAGGGTATGCTCCCTCGCCTCTCTCTCTCTCTCCTCTCTCTCTTGTACATACATACATAGGTATATACATACATCACACACATATATAGTACTCCCTCTCTCTCACTCTTACACACACACATATATATATGCATGCACGTATACACATACACACTCATACTCATACACATACGCACACACACCGTCATAACCCTTACGCAACGGGCTTCATAAGGCCCCAATCTATGAACGTAGGATCCCATCCATATCTTGAGAATAGGCTGCGATGCCAGAGCACTCGGTTAAACTATAAAAGTCACAAAAGATCTCTGAGCAAAACTGTAAAAGTTGCAAAAGAAAGGGCTTTCTGTTTGACGATGATGATCGACTGAGCAAACAAATTTCATTTGAGGGTCTACTCTGTAACCGAGGGTTCCCAAGTCCTATTCAGTGGTGAAAAATGGTGGAGAGAGATTCATTGGAAGGTAAATAGCCAGATCTTGCAGCTAAGAGCTAATGTACAGGATCAATACACCATTCAACTAGACACCAGATTGCATCTTCTATGCTTGGTTGAATTGTCTCTCAACTCAGTCGCTCTTTCTCACTTCCTTCTCTCAGGGGTTCTGTATTGAACGCAAAAGGGATCTCTCCCCATGTACCTTTTCCACTGTTACACCTCTCTCCTCAAACTTCCCTTTTCACTCTGAGGCTACCCAAAAGAGATCATTCCCCTTACGTATCTTCCAGTAGCTCATCGATTCTCTTCTTGAATGCTTTTTTCCATGTAAACTGAAAGAGATTTCTCTCTATGTGTCCCAATGTTACCATTGTAATAACCTTGCAATTTGATGGAATTTGATGAAGGGTGTGGTTTTATAAGGCACACCTTCAAAGCTCATTGAAAGATGTAATTTTGGTGTCGGAAATTTCAATGAACTAAAAGAACACAAAAAATGGTACAAATCAAGCAGATCTATGAACACGTGAAAATCTTGAGAATGGGCGGTCTAAATAATGTATTACAAGATGTACCATTTTTGGTACTTTTAATTTTTTTTTTCCATCCGTGCATCTCGAGGTCAAGATGATCAATTAGAGGGTTTTTCACCATCAAAACAACCTTTTTGATGGATTTTTGAGGCATGCCTTTGCAACCTTATATAAACTCTTCCCTTTGATGAAACACCTTCTTACTCCTTGCTTTGAAGGTCGGGGTTTGAATAAAGTGTGGAAAAAAATTCACAGGCGCCATTAAACCTTGAGGCGATGCCACTCGAGAAGCATAATCAACTAATCTATGACCAAAAGATTCATGGGCTGATTTTCTATTGAATTAGAAAACAAAGTCCACACTAGGGAAGCCATTTGAGGTCTCTGTCTTTCATAAATTGGTGATTGTGAATCTTTGTGTGATAAGGCTTATGACCCACTTCCCCAACATTCTCAAGAGGCAATCCTCTAAGGGGAACTGACTTTTTCCTAAATGAACTAATGGGTTCACTGCTGATTAATATGAGAATTGATGGCTATACTTTAAGCTTGAGATTGAAGTGGGTTCCAAGGTCTCTACGTAAATCCTCAACTCAATCATTTGCATCAATCTCTTTGCCTTATGTTGGTAACTAATGCTGATTGGGGTAATGGAATGATATGGTGGGTGATCAAGGATTCCATTGCCCAATTGGGCTTTGTTGGTCTAGAGATAAAGTGTTTCAAGGGAGCAACCAGGGGGAACTTGAGTGGTGGCAGTGGCTTTGGGCCTCTTTGATATCTTTTTTGCAGTTTCTCCAGGAATTCCTGAGGTTCCCGTGGATTCTAGAATGATTTGAAAAATTGGTGCAGTTACTTTCCTCATTTTGATAACCTATCTAGAAAAATTGGTGCAGTCCGTTTCCCCAGTTTGACATCATGTCCTATGAATTGGTGCAGATGAATTACTCAACATTGTTTATCATTCCAATACTTTGACTAAGCTTCTCTATTAGAAAAGCACTAAATCTTGTTTATAACAAGCTCAAACTGAAGCCGTTAACAAAATCCTGCGGGCTTTGTAAGAATCTTCGACTAAGTATTTATCATCATTGTAAGGTAGAGGATGCACATAAAAGAAAACCTCTGAATTATTAGCATTGAGGATGACTGAGCCACGCACATCAAATTTTAAAATTGAACTACCATTGAAATAGTCGAAATCTACAAACCCAAAACATGGTTTCTAGTTTGTATCGGCAAAAACATGAATTCCAACCTATGAAGTTTAATACCAAAGCCATTAACAAAACCCTGGGCACTGTAAAATTCTCAGCTAAAATATCGGAAGGCAGACAAGATAGGAAAAAAGTGCTACCACCAAGAAATTCTCTCATAAACTTAGCAGCACCAAGACAGACTGATCAATCTATATATATCAAACTTCAAAATAATACGACCTCTGAAAAAATCCAAGAATAAGGGCCCATTTGACTCTTAATCAGCTGATTTCAAATATTCAAGCGATAAGCTGGTATTTTCGTGGTAAAGTTGCAGAGGAACCAGCATAAAGACCCAATATTGCATCCCTCTAGAGGATCAAGACTTCCTCTTGATCTACTTTTAGCCACAAATTGCATTCTGTGTAGTTAGCTCACTGCTGAAGGAACAAGATTACCTATTGTTCCAGCAGTTTGAGGTGATCACAATAGAAGGAGAAGTTAGAACTTTGGCCAAAAGAGACTCTACCCAATGTACAGGTGCCAAAGTAAATTCAAGAGCCAATGATGACAGTCGAAACCCTACTGTAAAACTGAAAATTTATTGTTTCTTGAGGATCTTGGAGATTACATGAATGACTTCTTGTACTCCTGTGTCCGGTACTCCTGTCACTGGAGTCCCGTGTATAACTATGGGGCCATTTGTTTTGGAGCTTGGTCTTGACTGTGTCAAGTGGGTGAAGGCAAACGTAGGGGAAAGGACCTGTGAAGTCAGGCTTGGAGAGATGGGTTTTTCTCAAATGTGGTGTTCTTCATGTGGGTATCTATAGAGAGAAGAATAACCCAAGTTGGGTATTAGAGAGAGAGAGAGAGAGAGAGAGAGAGAGAGAGAGAGAGAGAGAGAGTAGGAGGTGGACGTAGTAGTAGAGTAGAGAGTAGAGAGACGTAGTAGAGTAGAAGTAAAAGTAAAAGACGAGTACGACGGACGTCCCTACCCGTACTCTCGTCGTGGTAGTAGTTGTCG